CTTTAAATCCTTTTTTTTTGCATTTAATCGTCAGAACTCTTTTTGTAATTTATCAGGAACTCTAGAACTTTTTGGGGAAGAACCGGAACTCTAATTATTTTTTCGAAATTTTGACAATGGGGTGCCAACTTCATAGAGGTTACTTAACTGCGACGTTATCATTCTAGATAATTTGGAACATGTGATTATTTGTGCTGCACACCGCGGCCGTCTTAATCTATTAACGGGACTACTAAACTTTCCACCAGAGAAATTATTTCGTAAATTAGGAGGATTTTCTGAATTTTTGGACACAATCAAATGTACCGGAGATGTCATTAGCCATCTTATAAGCTCCACTGATCTTAACATAGATAAAAAGAGTCTTCACGTAACTATGCTTCGAAATCCATCACATTTAGAAATAGTAAATCCCGTGGCGATGGGAAAAACTCGAGGAGTTATGCAGACAATTAAAGAAGCCGCATATAGTGATAATGAAAATGCGACATGGAGCAATCGAGTAATAAACATTCAGGTAAGTTATAAATGGTTAGTAAAGATTTTTGTCAAAAAACTTATATTAATCGAAAGATAGAAAAAACAGCCAATAATTCGATCAAATAAGGGTGTTAAAAATTAATAATTTATTTCATATAGTAAGCACACGGTACGTTTCGACCTCACTTTCTCAACCTTTCTCAACCGCATAAAATTATATTAGTAAAAATTTAATAGAGAACTTATTTGCTCCAATTATTGGCTGTTCTTGCTGTTCGTTTATTAACCTTGAACGGAGTTTAAATATAACTTATATCAACATATTTTATTATTTCAAAGTTTAATAAAAAATTTTTTTTATAACTTAATGTAAGAAAAATAATAGTGAGAGCAATTTCTTTACCCTAAATATAATTTTAATCAATAATTTTTATTAAATTATAATTTTAAAAAGTTTATTTTTAATATATTTTATCAAATTACAACTGTACGTTGGTTTTATTTAATTTAAAATTAAATATATGTAGATTATTAAAACTTTTTTTTTTAATAATTTGTTAAGCTGTTTAAACTGCGCCCCGAATCATTTTCAGACTTGTAACGCAATTCTTCGAAAATCTATATAGATATTAGTTGACTGTTCTGGAAAGCTTTAAAATAAATTAAATAGAATTTTTTACAGACATTTGAATATTCCTTGTACATTCTATAAATATTTTAAGACATATCGGAAGACATCCCTGTTAATAAAATCCATGTGGATTTCCATGGAAATCCATGGAAATCCATATGGATTGTCATGGTAAATTCAAAATCCATATGGAAATCCATGTGGATAACCATATCATTAAAATCCATATGGAATATAGCCATGTGGATAACTGCGTGTACGTCATATTAAAGTTCATATGAAATACGAAAAATCTATATAAAAAATGTGAAAAATTCATATATGGGTCAACCATGATTATCTTATATATAATTTTTTCAATTCTTTTGTTTAATTTAATATTATGTTTTATTTTCTATTTGTATAATTTATTCTGATTTGAATTTTCATATGAAAAAATACATGTACGAGCCATATATTGGCGAATTTAATATATTAATGATATATGAATTATAAATTATTTTCGTATACAAGGTGTCCCATTTTAATTTCCCACCCAGGGGGTTAACCCCCTACTGTTTATTGCACATTCTTGTAGATCATCTCGAGAGCTTTCTAAAACACATAGATAAAATGTTTTTTGGTTAAGTAAATCTCAAGTTATAAAGCTTGAAAGTTACAATATCACCGGCATTAGCATTATCTAAGGTATCCGAACAATGGCTGAAACCTTTTGAATGTTGTTCAGGATCATGAGCTTGACAACATGTGTCAAGGCTATGATCATTGGAGATTGTTTCTCTTATTTTCATTTTTGAAAATTACCCAGACAGCACAAAGTCGTCTAAAAGATGACTAAATGGTGACTAAATTATAAGGGTATCTTTTAGTAAAAGAATATAGTCCGCAACGAAAAGATAACTAAAAGGCGACAGATGTCGCCCAACTAGTCATCTTTATGGTTTTATCCATATGATAACTTAAAGATGACTTCTGTGGATATCAATTTTTCTAAGAATTTCTTCGACATATCCACATACATAGACTGCGTTCTGCAAAGCGCATCATGCGCATGATGTATCATGGTATCCTTGTGTTCATTAAATGTTAAACAATGATAAAAGGATAAATCATGTGCATGATGCGCTTTGTGAAACGCAGCTATAGATACACTAAGAAAAAAGATTTTAACCAAAAAAAATTTTTTTCTTATTTTACGATTACATATTATTTTTAGAGTTTAATTTGTGTTTAACTATTTCGCATTATTTCTATTTTATTAATTACAATTTATACGCAGGTTTACAATTTTTGAAAACACATCGAGATTCGAACCTGAGATCCTTAGAACATCAGACTTATACGCTAACGCTGAGCTAATGATTCTTCGATACGAAGGATTTATTCTTTCCAGTATATATGATGTTATATATTATATTTTTATTATTTAGTATATGTTATTGTTATGCTTTGTCAACAACGTTTGATAAGACAAATTTTGTTGCAAATTTAAATTATTTCTGACGCCAAAACTTGTAGCAAGTATTTGTCGTTGTTTGTCCGAACAGATTTGCAGGTTATTTGGGTAATTACATGACTCAAAGCAAAAATTACTAGCCAATACCAAGCCAATTACAGAAAAAGTTATCAGTTGTCGCTTATCATCAGATAAATAGGCCGGAACGCTTGAAAAATTCATCGTACAACAAATGTAATAGCTCTATTAATTTTTTTTAGGTTATATGAATGGATATCTTTTAGTCGACTTTTCGCCTTGTCAAAAAGATAACTATAGAATGATGACGAAAAGATGTATTTTTAAGATTGTCTTTTGGATGATAATAAAAGATGTTTTTAAGATATCTTTTACTTTCATCCAAAAGACAACTTTAAAAAGACATCTTTTTGTTATCTTTTAGATATCTTTTCCGAATCTATATCTTAGCCGAAAAGACATCTTGAAAAAGACATTTTTTTGTCAGCTTAGTGTTTTGTGCTGTCTGGGTATTTTTATTTTTTGAAAAAGGAGAAACATTCTCCAATAATCATGGCTTTGACACATGTTGTTAAGCTCATGATTCTGAACAATATTCAAAAGGTTTCAGTCATTGTTCGAATATCTTAGATAATGCAAATGCCGGTGCTACTGTAACTTTCAAGCTTTATAACTCGAGATTTACTTAACCAAAAAACATTTGATCTATGTCTTTTGGAAAGCTCTCGAGATGATCTATAAGAATGTGCAAAAAGTAGGGGGTTCCATTTAAGAAATTGAAGGTATAACCTTCACATGACCTTCGAGCTATTCAAGGTCACACTAATGACATCACTTTACGTCCCCCTCAAAGCCATACAACTTTTGTCTGAAACATTTTTTTCTAAGATCAAAAATGAAAAAGTTATTTGGGGTGGGACATTAAAATGGGATACCCTGTATATATTTCAATGCATACAGGATGTTTCAAAATAAACTTTTCTCCTTAAAATGTCATATTCCTGACTGAATTCTAAGAAGACTTTTCCTTTACCAAAATTTTATTCGAAGCTTAGTTTTCAAATTATAACAAGAAATAGTTAGCGAATTATGGGCCACGTATGGAAGGTAGACAGGGGCGCGTAACTTACTGTCGGATGCAGGCAATACGCGGAGTCCTTGCGACGATTAGCTGACTGCTACATGCGCGCATACATTACATGATATTTTAAGGACATGCGATTACATTCTCTCTTGCTCACACACACACACACACACACACGCACACGCACACGCACGCACGCATGCACGCACGCACGCACGCACGCACGACGCACACACACGCACGCACGCACGCACGCACGCATGCAAAAACGCACACACATCAATTATAAGTTGTAAAGATTCGATGACTTCTGTAGCTTCGTGAGAAAGACGGAATTTCCATTTTGATGGACCACGTACAGTTCCAAATAAACGTTTATTTTAATAAATTTTCGTTAATTTTAATGCAGACGTTATCACTAACTGACACAGATCAGATTATTATTTAGTTAATTCTTTTTTTTACATAACATGTCACTTCAACATTTCACACTCGATTCACATACGAACAATTCACGGGAAATCACGAGAAATCAACTAATGCATCTATCCGTTACGTACTTTACAATCACTGTCGATTAATTATCTATCCACTGAAACATCATACAAAGAAACACGACGATTTATTAATACACGACCCGTTCACTCGAGGATAGCAAGCAGTCGACTGACTTTAATACCGAATTTATTAATTAATAATTATCAGTGTCGATGCGTGGCCCTATCTACCTTCCATACGCGGCCCATAATTCGCTAACTATTTCTCGTTATAATTTGAAAACTAAGCTTCGGATAAAATTTTGACAAAGGAAAAATCTTCTCAGAATTCAGTCAGAAATATGACATTTTAAGAACAAAAGTTTATTTTGAAACACCCTGTATATTGAAAAAATCCATGTAGATTTCTATATGGATTTCCATGTGGATTCCATGTACATTGAGACTCGAAAAACAGTAATAATCTCTGAATTTTCGCTTATTCTCGACTTTTAGTCTAAATTTGTAGATGCTTACTGGAAAAATAGTAACGTTTGCTGAAAAATATAGTAATATTTAAAAACTAAAATTGTAAGGGATACTGAAAAAATACATAATTATTGAGAATTTCATGTGCGATTCCGTAATTATTACTATTGGCTCTCAGTATTTGTTCAGGCGCAAGAACTCAGTGGCAGAGAAATATATACCAAAAAAAATAAGTCCTTTGTACAAAGTATCATTAGCTCAGTATTAGCGTACAAGCCTACTATTCTAGGGATCTCAGGTTCGAATCTCGACGCGTTTTCAAAAATTATAACAACCTGCGTAATTGTAATTATAAAATAGAGAATATGCGAAATAGAATAAACACAAATTAAATTCTAAAAAATAATAATATATAATTCTAAAATTGAACAAATGAAATTTTTTTGTTAAGGGCCCTTCCTAGTCAGCCACGAACTCTGCGTTGACGGTGGCGACGCTATATTGCGGTAGAAATTAGAAGCTTCTTGTCGTATATTAGGCCCGTCCTATAATACATCATATATCGGTGTTTTAAGTCATAAACCGTGATAATTCTACAGAATAATTGTATGCCAATATTGTAAGCAGTGTTAAATTGATCAATTACAGTCGAATATGAAGAGAATACTCGACAATTGAAGAAAATAACGGACCTACCTGAGGAAAGTGTTGACAACGAATTTTGTGTTCCGTGCCATTTCGTTATTATGTGCTTAATTGTGAAAATGTGACTTATCTCGTATTTATCAAAGTCGTAAAAATGGATGGAAACTATATAGCTATTGTCGAATTTTATACGTAAAAGTATCTTTTCCGTTCTTTTTAATAGTTGTCAAATCGTGAGTTTTTTTGCTTGAATAAGCTTCACTTTACGTGCCTTTTACGACTATTTACTGATTTTCAGGGGGGGAAAGGATAGTTTCCATCCATTTTTACAAGTTTTCTAAAGCGATCCTATTTATTATTTTATCTAAATCCTCTTTATTTAAAAATAGCACGCAACAAATTTTTACATGTCATTTTTCGCTGTTTCTCGCTTCTGACGTCACGAATCCAATATGGCCGCGGTGATTAGGAAGGGCCCTTAAAATCTTGTACCGGAATGACCGGAATTATTACCGTATCTTTACCGTAATGATTATGAAACGATACGTTACTGATTCAATATTACATCTATAATATAAGACTTATTGTAGAATTTGTAATACGTGATTCCATACGAATTTCATATAAATTTTACATAAATTTGATATGGAATCCATATGGAATTTATGTGGAATTTATATGAAATATAAATTCACATGGATTTTTTCAACAGGGATTTTAGGAGTGTTACAGGAATTTATTGTTAGCTGAATTAGTCTCGCACGTCTACCCTTTATTTCCTGATATTTTATTTTTATACCTCACCGCTCATATCCTATTATCTATCCATTCAATCTTAAAGTATCCATTTCCCTATCAATAATCTCTGTTTCTAGATTTCTGCCATTTCCTCTTACGTCATTTAAAGTTTCAATTCTTCAGCCATTTTATATTGTAAAATCTTGTTCTCTCTATTCGGTACCTGTCTCCTTCCAACTATACATTTCTTTTTATTTCCAACAAATTTCTAAATATACTGTCTTCCCTCTCCAAGATCTTTTCCTTGTACCTCATAACCCTAATTTCTCAATCTAATCTCAGCTTGCAAATTTCCTTGTTATAACATACCTGGATGTAAAAAAATCCAGTCTGAATATTCATCTCACATAAATATCCTTTGTTCCAATCCCCTAATACCTTTCTTAATTTTGCTTTAAAATAAATTTCGCTGAAGTTATACTGAGAAATATTCTGAAACATGGAACAATTTCATCAAACTTTTAAGTGAATTTGTTTTCAACAAATTTTGATAAAATTTTTTCACTAGGAATTATATATATTATATAATTATGTATCCAGTTATTCATGCAATCAGAAATTATTATCTTATAATTACGTTTTTTTTTATAGACAAAATAACATACAGTCTGAATTAATGGAAAGTTCAGGGGGTCGCCAGACGTTTAATCTCAAAAGTCTTATTAATAATCTTTATATTTTCAATTGAGAGTTTTAATATATTAAAATTTTGAGTAGAATACAACTTTTATAACACATCACAATTATAATCGTTTTTCATAGTAAATAACATTAAAATAATAAATTTTATAATAATCTATATTAACCTTAAATTTATGTTAAATAAATATTTAAAATATTATGAATAGTGCTCGGAAAACCCGGGTACCCGCCTACCCGCCCGTCATTCGTTGCACACGGGTGAGATCCGATTCCTCGGGTACCCGTATCACGCGGGTACTAATATAAAGTGAGTATTCGTAATATCATACGAACACTCACTTTATATTAGTACTCGCATCAGACGGCGAATGAATCGCATTAAATAATTAATTTAACATATCCAAATAAAAACATTCAATAAAAATTATTCAAAATTTATAAAATAGTTAAAATAACCTTTACTCTATTTCATTAAAACTTAAATTAAAATTTACCAAGCAAAATAAAAATCAATAAAAATTAAATTATTCTGCAAAAAAGTAAAAATATAAATACATAAAGGAAAATTACAAACACTGAAAAAAGTAATTTTGCAATTATAGCTAGAATTATTTAGGTACAAAAAATTAGCTAAAATGGATAAGTGATTAGTACCCATCACACGGAA